TGTCAATATTTAATTAAAATCTACTTGCTGGTTGAATGGAAAAGAATTCATAGGGCACAGGCCGTACAGGCGAGTTTGAGTGATTGCTCAATCCACACCCACATCCAAATGCACAAATACAAATGCACATTCATAAACCACTGTGACTTGGGTTTTCTTTTGCTTGGGGGCCACACCCAGCGGTAATCAGGTCTTACTCCTGGCTCTGCTCTCTCTGCTCCGCTCTTTGGGATCACTCCTGGGGCTGAGGGGACCAGGTAGGGTACCTATAGGATACCAGAGTTCCAACCAGGGTGGGTTGCATTCAAGGCAGTGTTATTGACGTACTATCGCTCCCACCTGGAAGTGGTTTAGTTCTGCACCTCGGTTGGTGTGACAGTGTTTTCAAACCTAAAACCCTCAGCAGCTGTGGATGAGTTCTCTAAGCTGGAGACAACCAACAGCGAAATATAATTTTAACGAAACCGACAGGAAGAGTGTTGGCAGAAAATACTCACGAACAATGAATGCTTCGTTGTGTGAAACTAACTCTACTAGCTTTAGCCAGAGGAGGACTCATGCTTTCTTTGTACTCATATTGTGAAAACTTGCTTTTAAAGGTCTAGTTACCAAAGAAAAGGAAAAACCACCACGCTTTTCCTGATGTGACAAGAGACAATAAACTTTTTTTTTTTTTGCTTTTTTGGATCACATCTGGTTATGCACAGGGGTTCCTCCTGGCTCTGCACTCAGGAATTATTCCTGGCGGTGCTCAGGGGACCATATGGGATGCTGGGAATCAAATCCGGGTTGGCTGCGCGCAAGGCAAACGCCCTACCCGCTGAGCTATTGCTCCAGCCCCGACAATAAACATTTTACCTCAGCAAACCTCTGTTTGAGGACTGGAATAGAGAGAGAGAGTACATTCCCTGCTACACTCCCTCACCCAGGAAACCTGGTACCTGATACATTGAACCTCCTGTCCTGGAAATGTTTTTTATTTGTTTGTTTCCTCAGTCCTGACAAGTGAATTGAGGACACTGTTAAAACATTGGTTTTTTTTCTTTTCCTTTTGGGATTTTGAGCCACACTTGGTGGCGCTCAGGGTTTACTCCTGCTCTACCAGGGATCACTCCTGGCGGTGCTCAGGGTACCAAATGGGCTGCTGGGGAAGGAAGCTGGTCTGCTCTCTACCCACTGTAGCATCTCTCTGGCCCTGTGATGAAGGACTGATCAAGGAAAACTTTTCTATTAACGTGAACTAGGTATTTGAATTAGAAAGTATACCCACTGCCAGTTCATTGTCTGAACAGATTCCTGACCCTGTTCTGACATTGAGAAGTCCCATGTGGAGGGAGATTTTGTTTGTTTGGGGGCTCACCCAGCAGTGCTCAGGGACTACTCCTGGCTCTGAACTGGACTTGCTCTTAGTGGGCCAGGGGGTACAGGGACCAAACCTGTTCGTAATAATGCACTCAGCCCTGAAAGTTATCTCTCTGGCTCAAAGTTTAATTTTTTTTAAATTTTAATTTGTTTTTGTCTTGGAGCCCCATCAGGGCTCAGGATTTTTTCCTGGCTCTGTACTCAGGCATCACTCTTGGCAGTGCTCAGGGGACCATATGGGGTGCTGGGCATCGAACTCAAGTGGGCAGTGCAAGCACCGGCCATACTCTATCTCCCAGACCACCAAACATGAAGCTTTTAAAGCATTTCATCCAGAAACCTGTAGGAGAAATGAAAACCCAGTGAGACCCGGGGTCTACCTTCAGGGTGACACCAGCTCAGCGGGGGAGACAAACACATCAGCAGTTGTGTATTTTTTGTTTTGCTTTGTTTTGTTTGGGGGCCACAGCCGGCAATGCTCAGGGGTGATTCCTGGCTCTGCACTCAGGATTGATTCCCAGTGGGGGTTTGAGGAACCATAGGTGGTGAGTAGGTGGATATAACCCAGGTCAGCCACCCGCAAAGCAAGCTTAACTTAGCTCTGAGCTAAAGGATCACTCCTGGCAGGGCCTGGGGGACCAGCTGGGGTGCCGGGGACAGAAGCCCGGATGGCCACATGCAAGTCACTGGACTGTCTCTCCAGCCCCACAAAGTTTTAATGGGGGAGAAAGAGATGAGTAAGTAGTTTTGAAAAATGAATTAATTAGTGCTAACAAGCTTAAGCTACTCTTGGCTCTACATAATTGGTACTCTGGCAGAATGCCCACGCTCACCAGGCCTGTGATTAGACTGGCCATTCTCCTGCTGGTTTCTCAAACAACCATCGGCAAAATAATTGCCATTTGGCCCAGTCCACGGGTCTGACCCAGTTTAAGACAAGAAAGCAAAATGGTTTGCTTGTTCGTTTGTTTGTTTTTTTCCTATGATGGCATCTCTAACCTGATTTTAAAATAACTTCACTTACATTTTCTTTCCACAATGGATTCTAGGAGATAAGTCTGGAGGTGATTTCCAAGAAATGAAAGAAATGAGGTGGCCTTGAACAGAGCATAGGGGTAGAAGAGATTCTTGCTTGGGAGATGGAACGGCTGGAGGGCCAGGCTACATGAAAAACTGACATGGGGAGCTAGTCTGGAGTGGATATAATTAGCTCTAGAAAAACTTGAACGCATCCAAAAGAATAAGAGTAACCAGTGCTGGAGCGGATGTGGGGAGAAAGGGACTCTCCTTCATTGTTGAAAGGACTTGTCCTTTTTGATACTTTGCTGCAGGTGGCCAGTTTTATTTCTTTTTCTTTTCTTCCTTTTTTCTTCTTTTTGGGTCACACCCGGCGGTGCACAGGGGCTACTCCTGGCTCATGCACTCAGAAATCACTCCTGGCAGTGCTCGGGGGACCATGTGGGATGCTGGGAATCGAACCCAAGTTGGCCTCTTGCAAGGCAAATGCCCTACCCGCTGTGCTGTCGCTCCAGCCCCTCAGTCTTCTTTCTTATAGGGAAATCTGACCCACCTGTCATATTGGCTCTTAAGGAACTGCTGTTATAAGCAGCTCATCAAGAGTTGAATTTCATGCAGCCTTGTTGGGAATACGGAAAAGGAAGAAAGCCACAGGCCTGCTGTTAAGTCTTGGGAAATTCTGGATGACTCTGCACAAGCAAAATGACTTGAAGTTTATGTCCAGACACCTTTACCTCCATCTTCAGTTAACTGAATGTTGTATAATAATCCTTTTTCAAAGCAGGGTGGAATGTTCTGGTTTCACCACAGATTTTCTACTCAATTCATGTTTGGAATTGGCTTCAAGATTCCAAATCCCCTTTGTATATAATCTTATTATTTTGCTTTTTTAAAAGTAAAATCCTTGGGGTTGGAGAGATAGCACAGCCGTAGGGCGTTTGCCTTGCACGCAGTCGACCCAGGTTCGAGTCCCAGCATCCCATATGGTCCCCTGAGCACCGCCAGGAGTGATTTCTGATGCAGAGCCAGGAGTAACCCCCGTGCATTGCCGTTGTGACCCCCCCCAAAAAAAGTAAAATCCTCGTATAAATCATATTAAAAACCCTTGTATTAGTGATTTATGTTCAGCATTATTTGATTCACTTACCATTTTAGAAAGAGAACTATTTAGTTGTGTTTTAAATAAAAAATGGCATTAAAAAAAAACTTGAATCCTGTCTTTTTCATTTAAACACTGTGCAGTCAGGAGTCAATCCCTTATCCTCTCTGTAGCATTGGGAAAGTGTGACTGACTTTTAAAGAAGGTCATTGGAAGTCAGTGTGTGTGTGAAAGTGTTAGCTGTACACTCAAAAAAGATGGTTCCATTGCTAGTTGTTGCACATCGAGGCCTCATGGGTTGCTCTTTGCTCAGAATTGATTCTAAGGATGTTGAAAGGCACGAAGTTCAAATGTTTCCTAACTCTAAATCCCATCCTGTAGAATCTATTATAGACCCAATCTAAGAACCAATCTAAATGACCATCACTGTCATTGTCACTGTCCTCCCATTGTTCATCGATTTGCTCTAGCGGGCCCAGTAATGTCTCCATTGTGAGACTTGCTACTGTGTTTGGCTTATCCAATACTCCTGGGTAGCTTGCGGGGGCTCTCCTAGAGGGGCGGAGGAATTGACCCTGGTCTGTAGGGTCAGCCCCGTGCAAGGCCAACGCCCCACCGCTGTAGTATCTATGGGAGAATCTATTATAAATACCCATTTAATTTTCTTGCCACCAAAACGTAAGCTCCCCAAGGACTGGGTCTCCTTCGATCTTTTTAATATGTACGTTAGAATTTTCTATTTATCTCTATCTCATTTCCAAATCCCTTCTTCACTCCGGTAGTATTTGCGGGGGTGGGGTGCTGTGGAGGGGGAGGATGGTCTTTCACTGCCACATTCTCCGTTTTTGGAACAAAAACAGGAGTTTGGCATTCAGACAGTTGTGGACTCCAATTCTTTCTAGCAGCTTTCTCCGTCCAACTTGCTACACAGAATTTACAATTTCCCAGTATAAACACATAACAAACCCTTAGACCGTACCCCTTACACTAATATATCTTTAGATATTAAATTTCATCTCAACTGATGCGATCTCAATTCATTTGATCTCACTCTGCCCTCCCACCCGCTCTCGCTCGGCCCTTCCGCCAACCAAAACCTACTCCCCCGCTGATAAAGCTCTTAACTCGAAAGATAAAAAGTGCAAGTTCATTGGGTGACGCTTAAAGGAGCCGCCTCCGTCCAGCCGCGAGAGCGCGGGGGACCCTAGTGCCGGTTTCGGCGGGTTCGGGCGGTCGGCTCCTTTAAGACGGGCCACGCCCCCCACCCCCATTCGCCCGGGCCGGGGGGGCGGGCCCTGTCACCCGGAACTGACGGCGCGCGCAGCCGGCGCGGCCAATCCGCGTCCCGGAAGGAGCGAGCGAGTGGAAGCGGCGCCGCCCGGCGGCCGCTGGCGCGTTGGGAGCGCGGCGTCCCCCGCCCCCGGCCGTGGGTCCCCCTCCCCGCCCCCACGCCGGAGCCCCGCGGGCGGGCGCTGTGCGCCGCGGCCGGGCCCCGAGTCGGGCCTCCCCGGGGCATGTAGCGTCCCCTCCAGCGCCGCCGCCGCCGCCGCCTCCGCCGCCGCACGGTGCCCGCTCGTCCCGCCGCGCCGCCGCCGCTGCCCGCGCCGCCCGCACCATGGGCAGCGAGCAGAGCTCCGAGGCCGAGAGCCGCGCCAACGATCTGAACTCCTCAGGTCGGTGCCTAACCTTCACCTTCCTCGGGGGCCGGCCACGGACCGGAAAAACACCTCCCGATTTAAAAAAAAAATTGCATTTTTGGTTCGTCTTAAAAGCAAAAAAAAAAAAAAAAAAAAGAAAAGAAAAGAAACCCCAAAACGAGAGATGCAAACATGTCTTGCCAATCTGCCCCAGCCTTGGCGTGGAAGCGAGTGTGGCCAGTGCTGCCAGGCTGAGCCAACCCGGGCGCCCCCGCTGCCCCAGCGTCCGTTTGCAAAGCAGCTGTTTTGTGCCAGCTGCCTCCTCCCCAGCCGGCTAGGACGGCCTCGTTGAACTGTGGCCTTTCTTGATGGACAGGGCGAGATTGGGTTCACACCTTGGGGTGCCTCCTCCGAGACAGAACTACTAAGCACAGGTTAAACAAAACAAAACAAAACAAAGCAACCCCCTTCTCCCCCTCCCCACCCCCCAAAACCGGGTCTTTTTTGCAAAGATGCTGCGTGAGCGCTGTACGCTGCTTGCTGGTTGAGCCCCGTTGGAGGCGCGTCTCGGGAATTTTCCCCATCAGGAGACAGTCTCAGCCCCCCCGTTTCTGGTGCTGGAGAAGCTTCGCAGGAGGGCAGGAACTGGGATGGGGGAAACCTAAGTATCTTCCCCGGCAAGCCCGTCCCCTCCCCATGATTTTGGATTTCGCTCAGCGTTTGTGGGAGGAGTGGGAGAATTTCTATGCCTGGTATCTACTGAGCGCTCAGTAAATCAAACCGTGCATGCTTCCCTCGGCATCAGTTACTCCTTTTGTTTGTTTGTTTGTTTTTGTCTTAATCACAGACAACTGGCAGGGCTTTGGATAAGCGCTGGGGTCGGTCGCGAATTCAAATAGGGTGCCGGCCAGGGCGTTAAAAAAAAAAAGTGCCGCCACTGGCGGTGAGCTGTTCTGTGCCCAGTGGGGTCTGTAATTCAGAAATGTGGAAGCGGAGAAGTCAAGGGGTGTTGCATACTGAAGTGTGACTGTTTCAAACCCGCATGCTGGGGGCGTGGTGAGCTGCAGCTACCAGTTCTGCTACTTTCCTGCGGTTCCTGGAAACCCCACAGTACTTATTACAGCAGATGCAGTCAGTGTTGCCTTTTGCTGTCCTGGCTTTCTGGCGGGCTCGGTCCCTTTTTGTTCCTGATTTATTAGATTCCCTACCCCTAAGACATACCCTGGGCTCCCCAAAAGCATTATGTTGAAGGAAGAGGTGCTACTTTGATATGCTTGTTCACCTAACTGCAGAGGCTTGAATATTACAGCATCCTAAACCAATACCAACCTAGGTTAGAGTTTTCCGAGTTCCCTGTGCCGGGTCCTTTACGTGCATTTACGTTTTGTCCTCCAAGTGGCGCCGTTTTACAGGCAAGGGAATTCAGGAGGCAGCTAGTACTCAGTCAAGTCCTGTTGTTGTCTCAGGCCTGGGCAAGAAGGAATCACTTAAGGTGGAGCAGAAAATATTTCTGCTCTGGGATCGGTCAGATGTTAGATAAATTCCCAGGACAGGTTAGAAGGCAATCCTTGGAAGAATAGTTAAAGTCGATTCTTTTTTCAAAAAAAATTTTTAATTTTTAAAATTTTTGTGTCATACCTGGCGATACTCAGGGCTTTCCCCCAGCTTTGCACTCAGGAATCACTCCTGATAGTGCTCAGAGAGACATGGGATGCCAGGGATGGATCGAATCCGGGTTGGCTACATGCAAAGCAAGTTCCCTACCTGCTGTGCTATCTCTGTAGCCCCCCAAGCAGATTCTTCAGGGGCCCATGGAGAGTCTCCAGGAGGCAGAGGGCACCCCTGTGATCTCTGAATCAGCCTGGATGAGCCAACAGAGACTGTCTCTAGAATGTGAAATCCACCGCAGGGTTATTGTTTTGTCCTTTTGTTTTCGTTTTAATTTGTGGAGCTGGAGAGTGACCCTCAGACATTCATTTTTATTTACTTATTTTTTTATTTGGGGCCTTGCCCGCTGGTGCTTAGGGTTTACTCCTGCCTCTGAGCTCAGGGATCACTCCTGGCCATGCCCAGAAGACTAGGTGGAGTGCCAAGGATCAAATCTGGGTTGGTCGTGTGCATGGCAAATGCCTGACCCCTGTAGTATCTCTCTGGCCCTTTTAAATTTTTAACTTTTGGTGTCTGTATTTGAAGTGTACTCTAATGCTAGACTTACATCCCAGGCCTAAAAGTTCCTTTGAGATACTTGGGAAGAGAGGGATGGGGTTTCTTCCTCTGGGGGCATTGAGACTGTGTGTTACTTCCAAAGGGCCCCATTTTCCTGAGAAGCTGAACTTGATTCCACCTTCCTAGTTCCTCTCTAGGCATTGTCTTCACTTACAATAATGCCCGGTCATTTCTGCTCTTCATGGACCAGTGCCCGTCAACTTAAAGTTGGAAAGGCTGGCTCAGAAGTTGACCTACCAAGGAAGGTTGAGAGCCTGGTTTTCCCAGCTCAGGGCTTATACCTGGCTCTGCACACATGGGTCACTTCTGGCCAGGCTCCAGGGGGATCCCATGTGATGCCAAGGATAGGACCCTGGGTTAGCTGCATGCAAGGCAAGCACCCTATCTGCTGTACTATCTCTCCAGCCCCAACAAACATTCTCGTTTTGGCAGCTTTGCGACCCCAGTGTCACTGGACTGGCCCCTTAGCCCCCAGACCTCCAATTCCTCTCCTGTTTCTAGCACTCTTGACCTGGAGCAAGTCACAGCCTGAGTTTGTCTTCTGATTCCCTCCTTGATAAAAAGGGGCAGCAAGATGGGCGAAGAAGCAAATTCAGCAAATGCCTTTGTGTCCTGAATGATAACGATTTGAAATTACACAAGCTGTTTCATGCATGTTATGGATTCCTGTCATGTTTAAGGGTTTGGGGTTGTTGGTTTCGTTTGGGGCCGCTGCTGGCAGAGCTCACGTGCTCCTGGTTGCATGTGTTTTACTTAGTCTTTGCGCTGGACTCCAGTCTTCCCAGGCCATGGTTGAGAATTTGGGGGTGGTTTTGTTTTTGAACCGCAGCCGGCAGTGCTCCAGGGCTGCTCCAGGCTCTGTGCTGGGGGCTCACTCCTACCCATGCTGGGAGGATTATGCCAGGCCTGGGATTGAACCTGGACCTCTGGCATCTAAAGCATGGCCTTAGCCCATTGAGCTCTCTCGTCTGCCCCCGCACACCTGCAGGGCAGGCACCCTAATAACAGGCTAATAGTCCATGTTCGAAATTTTTTTTTTCTTTTTGGGTCACAGCCGGCGATGCACAGGGGTTACTCCTGGCTCATGCACTCAGGAATTACTCCTTCCGGTGCTTGGGGGACCATATGGGATGCTGGGAATCGAACCCAGGTCGGCCACATGCAAGGCAAATGCCCTACCTGCTGTGCTATTGCTCCAGCTCTCATGTTTAAAATTTTTTAAAGACTCTATAGCAAGTATGAGACCCTACTCCATCCCCTACCCATCCTTCATATTTCATGCCACAGCAGGATAACTACAGATGTGTGTGTATGTGCTTGTGTGCGTGTGTGCGTGCACGTGTGTGTGTGTGTGTGTGTGTGTGTGTGTGTGTGTCTATACTGTGAGCCTAGAGAGCCGGCAGCTAACATCCAGTGCTGACTGGTTTCCCCCTTCCCCCCCTGCAGTGGCGCCCTCTCCCGCCAAGCACAGAGCCAAGATGGATGATATCGTGGTGGTCGCTCAGGGCTCACAGGCCTCGAGGAATGTCAGCAACGATCCTGACGTCATCAAGTTGCAAGAGATTCCGACCTTCCAGCCGCTCCTGAAAGGTAGGGCCTTGACACTTGTCTCCGCGGCACTCATCGGGAAGGTTTGCAGGGCCCCAGAGACGCGCCCCTCTGCTCTGGGTCTGTGCCCTGGTGAGGTCTGCTTGGAGCGGTCTTCCCTGCTGACAGCCCGCCTTTCTCTCTCACGCTTCATCCCCACTGCCCCTCCGCGCAGGTGGCTGGGGACCGCCTGGTCTCCTGGCTTCTCCCTCAGTGCTCTCTGGGCCCGACTCTCGGTCTTTCGTGCACTGCCGAGTCCTCGGTGTTTAAAGGAGAGCCAGTTTAACGCCAGGGGCCGGGTGAAGGAAGTGAATGATGTTGGAGCGTTACGTTGCCGAGACAAGAGTCCATTCTTGCTTGGGCTGGACAATGGAGTCACTTGTTGACTTCCATCAGGAGAATCCCTATGACCACTGTGAACACATATAATTAATCCTTTTTGGATGCCTCCCCTTCCACACACACACACACACATACACACACACACACACACACTAGTGCCAAGGGTCAAGCCCAGGGTCTTGTATGTACAAGGCAGCGGAACTCCAGCCCCGTGCACCTCAAGTGTAGTTTAGAGGACAGAGTATAGATGCCAGTAGCTCTCCCGATTTGCCAACGTGAATTAGCCACCCTTTAAAATGAATTTTATTAATGGCTTTCCCCCCCCCCCAATTAACTGGAGGGGGTTAATGCTGTGAGAATCTCTCTTTCTTTGTCTCCCTCTGCCCCCAAAGATGAGGAAGTGTAAATCAACATAAGGCCCTGGTTTTCTTAAATTGGCACAATCTACTGTAGAACACGTTGATAACTATTTGCACCAAAGTGTCTCTCTCTCTCTCTCTCTCTCTCTCTCTCTCTCACACACACACACACACACACACACACACACACACACACACACACACACAACACTCCCTTTCTTTTTCCACCAGTAACTATGTTGGAATGGTTAGTGTAAGATAGAACAGCTGGCAGACAGGCAGAAGTTGAACCTTGATGTCGCTGGTGTCAAGTCACATACCGGTAACATTATCCCCCACCATTTTCTAAAATAAGCGGGTGGTGCTTATTGATGATCATAATTGTGATCAGTGTTCAGGGGGCTGTCCCTGGCGGTGTTCGGAGGCTCTTCCTGGCCTGCAGTGGGGCTGTGTCCGAGAGCTGCTGGCTTTGTGCGTGCACACCCGGGGAAGAGGCATGAGAGAGGGGGAGAAATCACTGGACGGGCGTGGCCTGAGACTAGGGCTGGCCACACATGGCCATGGCCCCCTACCAGGAGCAGGAAAAGCCGTGAGCACTGCAGTAGATGTCCGTGTTTCACGTGTGCGAAGGAAACATTCACATGTGTGATTAGAAAAGATCCACAAGGGGTTTCAACTGGGTGGAAATAATCAAATAATCGTCCAGAAGGGCAATGGAGAAGATTCTCCATGACTTCTACTCAGATCTCTTCAATAGCCACGTCCACCTGCCCACATACCAAATCCCGCAGGATGGATATGTCGTTCCCAATGTTCTCCCGTTCAAAATCCGACACGCCAGTTCATTGAAGTGAACAGCACCAGGCCCAGACAAGGTCAGACCCGAACACCTGAAGAACCTGCCGTCAGTGCTCATCAATACGCTGGCTCGGCTCTTCACACGCTGTCTGAATGAAAGTTTCCGTTCCAATGGAAAACCAGCAAGACTGTACTACTGTACAAGAAGGGAGGCATCCACGACATTGGCAACTATCGCCTGATCTGCCTATTGTCTGTCATCTACAAGTTGTTCACTCGAGTCATCCTGAATAGGATTGGCAGAACACTAGATGAAGGACAACCATGCGAGCAAGCAGGGTTCCGCAAAAGATTCAGCACCATCGACCATATCCACATGATAACCAAGCTCATTGAGGTTTCTCGGGAGTTCAAGATGCCGCTCTGTCTAACGTTCATTGATTTAAAGAAGGCCTTTGATTCTGTTGAGACAGAAGCGGTCATTGAAGCCCTAGCCAATCAGGGCATTCAAGCCCAATACATCAGGATCCTCTGTGAGCTGTATTACAGGTTCACTACCAGGATTTCACCATTCTACAAAGAAGTGATCATCGTTTTTGAATGGCCTAAGGAATTGAGTAAGAACAACAACCTAAAATGCAAACTTTCATTTACTCCTAAGAGAATCTTTCATTTCTTGATGCAAATTTATGTAGTTTGTAAGTTTACTGCAAAGAATGCCTATTAAATATAAAATTTAAAGTGTCTTTGCAAAACAGCTAAATTTTATACTAAATTTATTTGCCAAAGTTGATCTCTGCTGTCATGTATCATTCCAGGCCCTTGTTCACATTAAAATGTATCATATAATTCTTTAAATGTCCTATTCCCCATCATATTGAAAAACTTCTATCTACTTTTTGCCTTATAATAAAGAAATCTGCTGGCTTCTGTCAAAAGTCAATCAAGAAAAAATAAAAACAAAATTTCAAAAAAAAAGTGATCATCGATGTCAGGAGAGGGGTTCGACAGGGTGATACCATTTCACCAAAACTCTATAGTGCCACCCTCAAAAACGTCATATGACGACTGGAATGGGAAGGAATGGGAGTGAAGATAGACGGTCGGCAACTACACCACCTCCGCTTTGCTGATGACATCGTTCTAATAACACCAAACATTAGCCAAGTGGCACAAATGCTTGCCGATTTCGACCATGAGTGTGGAAAGGTCGGACTACAGCTGAATCTCACGAAGACAATGTTTATGAGAAACAGCCTCGTTCCTGATGCCCCATTCGCTCTCAACGGAACGACCATCTCCGAATGCAACAGTTATGTTTACCTAGGTCTAGAAGTCAACATGACTAATGACCTGGCACCTGAGTTGTGCAGGAGAAAGAGAGCAGCTTGGAATGCCTTCAAGAGCATCAAAGAAATAGCTGAGGATGAAAAACTGCCAGCTCCGGGCACATCTCTTCGATTCCACTGTTCTTCCTGCATTAACATACACCTCAGAGACCTGGGCCCTATGAAAACAGGATGAGAACGCTATTCGGGTCTCCCAAAGAGAAATTGAAAGAGCTATGCTTAGAGAATCATGCTTCACTGAAATGAGAAAAAGAATCTGGAGTTCCAACCTCTGTCAATGGTCAAGAATCAGGGACACTGTCTCGTTTGCCAAGGTGTCGAAAATCAGATGGGCTGGACATGTAATGAGATTTGGAGACGACCGCTAGACTAGAGCCATTACTGACTGGATTCCACAGGACATCAAAAGACCGCGTGGCCGCCCACCTACCAGATGGTCAGATCAGACTTCTTCGTCAAGACCCTGAAGATCGGTTTGAGGCTCTTTGCATTCCTAGAACGAGCAGACGCCATTGGGCTACACTAGCACGCGACAGGGATGAATGGAGATGTTACTGGCGCCTGCTCAAGCAAATCGATGAATAATGGGATGTCAAGTGATCAAGTGATCATTAGAAGATTAAAAATAAAGGCCAGAGAGAGAGAGTATAGCAGGTAGTTTGCTTGGCCTTGCACGCCACTGATGTGGGTTCGATCCCCAGCATCCCATGCAGCTCCTTCCAGCCAGGAGTGCTCCCTGAGGACAGAGTCAAGATTAAGCCCTGAGCACGGCCAGGCGTGGCCCGGAGACCAGCAATAAATACGGAATAAATAAGAGATAATACGATAGGTCACCTCCTTAGTACCTCTGTGTGAGAGCCGCGATGGAGACACCGAGAGTTTCAACTCATCACTGTGAGTCTCAGTGAGCGCCTGTCTCACGATGGCCCGGGAACACCGAGGTCTTCCTAACATCTTGTGCAGAGAACGAGACTCAGCTTTCCATCTTAGCCCAGCCCACTCCAGAGACCACCAGACTGGAATAGGAAGTAGGAGGATGGGGCGGGGGCCGTGTTGGGGTTCTGGGTGCAGGATTTGCCTGGAGACCCCTGTGTTGTCTTTCTTGGTGGTATCAGGGATTGAACCAAGTGTCTCCCACATGCCAGGTAACTGCTTCACCACTGAGGCACTTCCCGGGCCAAGCTCCCCTGTGGCATGGCTCTGCTCGTTTATTTAGAGCCTTGGTGGGCCCCCTGGGTGGGCGGCTGCGGGGGTCTCTCATCACTGTCACCCTCAGATTCTCATCTCTTTTTTTCCCCCTTTGCTGCTGGCAGGATGAAGTTATTTCTTAAAGTAGTAAAAAGGCCACACACTGGAGGCTCTACCCCCCAGGTTTGATTTCAGAAAGCTTTTATCCACGCTAATGACCGTTTACTCCTTCAAAACAAAATATTCAAGTATTACACAGAGTTTGCTATTGTTCCATAATGTCATATGATGTCATGCCAATGCTGGTGGGTGATCTGCAGAGGCAGCAGCGGGGCGAGTTTGGGGCTCTTGGTAAGACTGAGGTCATGTTTGCATTTTTAACAAGCAAGCACATTCTTTCTTTGGTCTTAACCCTTTTGGGTAAATATCCCAAGAGTATAATTTATACTGTGTACTAATGCCAAGGAAGTCAAGGGAATTTCTGTTGGTTTTTTTTTCTATTTTTTTGGTAAGAGAATCTGAATTAGGGATTTCTTTTGAAATGTAAAGTAGTTAATTAACAAATTAGTACCAGTAAATGGCCATAACTGAACAGAAGGGAAATGGAGGTGGGTTGCAATTGAAATTCCAGGCCCTAGACTTTCTCAGTTCAACTTATTGTCCCTCCTTTTTCCCGCCTTTGGTCGGAATCCCACTATTTTGCGTCATTCTATAGGAATAATGTATTCGAGGAGCTGGAGCAATTGCACAGTGGGCAGGGCGTTTGCCTTGCACACGGCCAACCCGGGTTCAATTCCCAGCATCCCATATGGTCCCCCAAGTACCGCCAAGAGTAATTCCTGAGTGCAGAGCCAGGAGTAACCACTGTGCATTGCTGGGTGTGACCCAAAAAAGGAAAAAAAGAAAAGAAAAGAAAGTATTCAAGAGTAATACAGTATTGACTCATAGGCATGTTATAAAAGTGGTC